ACCCAAGGACCCAGTTAAGAGACTATCTCAAAAAACAAGTTAGACAGCTCCTGAGAAAGGACTGAGGTAGTATCATCACACACACACACACACACACACACACACACGCGCACGCACGTGCACACACGCGCATGCACACACACGTGCTTACACATACACAGACGGAGACAGCTGAGGTTGTACCATCACACACAGAAGGAGTAGGGCAGAGAGACAGACGCACAAACAGAGGCACATAGATATACAGACAGACAGACAGACAGATAGCTTTGGGTTATCTACTTTAAAAGGGATAACTTATAAACATGAATTTCAATATTGTGCTGTGAAAAAGGATAATAAGGTTTGAATTAATGTTGCATACTTACTTGAAAATATTTACAATATTTTTAATGAAAAAGAATGGGAAGGGAACTTAGGGAAGGAAACAATATAACATGTACAGCATGATCAAGTTTCTCTAGGGCAACTTTTTTTTTCCATGATAGGATAATCACTTTATTTCTCAAGGGAAATACTGTTGACTTCATCAGTGTGCGTAATGCCAGCTAGTGAAAGCAGAAAACCATAACCAGGTCAGCTTGTCTAACTGAACTCATTGTCTTGGTGCGCGTGCACGTGTGTGTGTGTGTGTGTGTGTGTGTGTGTGTGTGTGTGTGAATTTTAAAGATTCCCCATGAAGTCAGGCAGCAGCTCATGTTTTTAACTCTACCTCTTAGGAGGCAGAGGCAGGAGACCTGCTGTAACTCTGGGGACAGTGTGGCCTACAGAGTGAGTTCCTGGCCAGCCTGGGCTACAGTGAGAGCTGTGAGAGCTGGTCTTAGAACCAAGGTATTGACAGGTTCTACGCGGTCCTGTACTTATTCTCACACTGTAGATAGTTATAGAGACCTTTATAGGGAACTTACACCTCCATTTAGAGTACCTTAGTGTTCTAGCTTCCTTTCTTCAGCTGTGATAAAACATTCTCACTGAAAGCAACTTAGAGAGCTAGGGGTTCATTTGATTTAGACGTCCTGGTCACAATCCATTGAGAGAATTCAGGGCAAGGAACCCAGGGCAGGAGCAGGAAAGCAGACTGCTTGCTATTTCATGCAGCGTTACCTCCCACCAGGAAAGGGACCTACAGGCAAGAAAAGTACTGCTGGAACCACAGCAGATGCTGCTTCCTAACTGACTCACTTGGGCTCATGCTCAGCTAAGTTGTCCTACAGAGCCGAGGATTATACTGCTCACAGTGGGCTGGACCTTCCTCTTATTAATCAGGAATCAAAACAATGACCTACAGACATGCCCATGGGCTCATCTGATCTAAGTAACTCTTCAGGTGTGGTTCCTTCTTTCCAGGTTGTAGCAAGTTGATGACGAAGCTAACCAGGACGGTTAGCATTTGTAAAGAGGCAAGTTTGATATGATATAACAACCCAAGACCTATCTAGCCTCCAAATCTATGTGCATTTGGTACAAATTGCTAAATTTGCTGATACTACATTGACCTGGGGATGGGCTGTTAGCAAAAGGTGGAAAACTGAACAAAACAGTGTACAGGTCCTCCTCCATGTCACTGAAGATGAATTTGTTTCCATGGCGAGTCCCTTAGTTGTCACCTGGCAAATCAGACAGCCCCATGACGGACAGTTAACTAAAGGAGACCCTCCTGACACTGTTTCTACAAGTTTCATTTGCATATTTTGATTGTTTCTTCTGGAACTACACCGACTCCCATTCCCTTGGCCGATACTGTTACGTAATTCAGTATATTCAACTCTTCTTGGTCCTGCATCCAAAAGACTTCAGCTGGCTTTCTTCTCATCTTTTAGGTCCCTTCTTCCTCCTGCCTTCTGTCTTTAGTAATTGAGTTTTGGAATTACTCATTTCCCTACTGAACTCAGCTTTAAGCATAGCACATGAGGGTGCTGCCATTTTATTCCTCATAGCATTGTGCCATTAATCCCATGATGTAAAGAGTTTAGCCCAGTGTCCCAGGCATACATTCTTCTAAGGTCTCTTAGCTCCTGTTTTACATCTCACTCAAACCTATTCCTTTCCTTCTCTACTCATCTCAGAAAGTCCACTCTTCTTTCAATTGCTCAGGCCCAAAGCCTTGGGTTCTTACTCCACACACACTGTTTCTGTCTGCAAATGCTGCCACATCCCTTGTCAACCACTTACTGCTCCACCCAACCCCTTACCCCACTTTCTACTACTAACCTCCGTGGCCAAAGCAACACTGTCCATTTGGGGATTATTCTAGCATACTTTAACACATCTTGATCTTTCTGTCACTTACTTCTTTGCCTGCAGAGCAGTTACGATGGTCCTGTGTTGGTTACCTAGAGGGACAAGTGTGTTGTGTGGTAATTTTGACGGATCACGTAGAATATACATACTGAAATCTACATGGTATATAGTTTACATCATACATGTGTTATGTGGCATAGCCTATTTCTCCTAGGCAGAGTCAGGGATCTGTATAGCATTAGGGATCTGAAAATTGTAGGCTTAATATAATGTTGCGTGTGTTTCTAAACTGAAAAAAGGAAACAAAAACAGGGCTCCATCATGACATTATGTGACAGCTTTCCTGAAACGTCACTGAGTTGGACATAATTCTGTATTTAAAATGTTCTTCCTTCCTGGAACTCTTCAATGATTTGACAGCTGTTATGGACTGTGCTGTACAGCCCAAACATTTGTATCTGAAGTTACCCCACCACACACACACTCACCCACTCACTTGATTGAATTGGAAAGAAGGTTCTTCACGTTACCTTAAGGTTAAAAGAGCTCTTAGGGTTAAAGCTGGGGTCAATAAAACTGTGCCTTTATGAGAAAAGGAAGTAGCATCAGAGTGGTTGCTCTACTGTGTAAGGCCACCGTGAGAAGGCTGCTGTTTGTAACCAGAGAGTCCTCACCTGACCCTAGCCACACTGGGACCTCGATCTCAAACTCAGAGAGCTCCAGAACTATGGTAAAAAGTTTTTTTTTTTTTTTTTTTTTTACTTAAGTCATCCAGTCCATGGTATTTTACTATGGAAGCCTGAACTACCATTCCACTCAGAGAGAAAGCCAAAGTATCTCCAACAGCCAGAGGCTTGACACATTTCCCACGTCCTCCAACTCTGATCCTGTTGCCTTTGATTCTTTCCCCTCACACTGCCCGACATGCAATTCCATACCAGGCCTACTCCCACTTCTGGGGCCTTTGCTTTCTCTACTTAGAACAGATTGCTCCAAAATATTTGCACAACACACTTTTTCACTCAAAGGTCACTTCAATGATGTCATCCTAAGGAAGATTTACCATCTCCCTACCCCTTTCCCTTAGCATTTCTTTCTGATAGACAGGCTAAATATCTTATCTCTTTACATTATCTATGACATCCACGAGTTGGATTTAGCTATATCCTAAGGACATAGGGAGGCTCATAGCAGGTGTGTCAACATTTGTTCAGTAAATTAACGTTGAATTCTTACAGCCATAAATTAGCTTTAGGCTGGAAGGCACAACATAGAGCGTTTACTAGGACAGCAGTGTTCCCTAGTAGAAAATTACACTGCTTGAAAGAACACATGATTTTTTTTTTTTGGCCTCTTCTGATTTTCCATTAATTTTAGAAAAGTTCACGGTGGTTTTAGAAGTCCCGAGTGTATGACCCAAGATCTGTTCTTTTTGATTTCCATCTTTAAAATACAGATAATGATAATATGCTGACCAATTGTCAAGGGCAAGTAAGATCGCAGTTGAAGGCTTTTAAATTTTTGACTGGTTGTTTATTTATTTTTGTAAACCCAGGCTCTGAGGTCTTGGATACTTTGATCTTGCTTAAAGTATTCGGCAAGAGATGGTGTTTATTCCTACAATTCTTTAAATATAGAGTAAACACAAGCATAGCAGACAATGACCCGAGGAAACTATTTGTGATGGCTCGCTTTCTCTTAGGGTTTCGGAGAGGTAGCAAGTTAACGGAGACTACTAAGTTGGAAAGCAGGTGTTCTTCCTCTAAATTTTCAGAGAAAACAAGCCTGTAGAGCATTTTTGTGTTAAAACCAAGGAATTCTTCTCTCCCGCAGCCAAACGGAAAACTCGTAATTGTAGCGTAGGCAGCTGCTGTCACTGTATCCCGAGAGAGGCGTTTCCTAACAGTGAAGTTAAAAATTGTCTTCCATCATCGGAACGAGGTTCCCTTGCCACCTCCAAGCACCAGCTTTTAAAAATAAAGGTGTCACCCAAGTGGGGACACACCCACCGCATCCCGGCTGGAATTACTCTTTGGTTATGCAAATCTTAAAAACGCTGGCGCGGGGCTCTCCAGCTGGGCGCCTGGCCGCTCGCCCGCCCGCGTCGGGGTGCGCGCATCCTCCGGGCGGGAGCGCGCGTGGCCAGCGCCTCCGGAAGCGCGCGCGGGTCTAACAGGAAAGACCCCAGCATCACCCGCAGCCGGAGCGCCGCGGGCCTGGGTACCACGCGCCCTGAGGGAAACCGCCCACAGGCCCTGCAGCGTCTCGCGAGATCTCGCCGGCTTGCCGCAAGTATTGCGAGTTTAGAACTTAAAAAAAAAGAAAGAAAAAGAAAAAGACAGCGACGAGAGGAGTCTGCAGAGCCGGTGCTGCAGGGCCAGCATCCGCGGCGGCTGGCACCAGGGCCGGGGCTGCGGACGGGCAGGCGGGCGGCCGGGGGAGAACGTGGAGCGGGCGGGCGGAGGGGGCAGCGGAAGGGGCGGCGGTGCGCAGGTCGGCGCGGAGACGCGTGCGGCAGCCCGGGCCGCGCCTGCTCGTTGCGCCGCGGAGGCCGGCGCTCGCTCTCCGGGCTCGGCGCGCCGGGCTGGCCGGCGCAGAGCTCGGGGCGGGCCCAGGGGCGGGCTGAGCGGCCCCGCCTCCCGCGTGCTGCACGGAGCGCCGCGGCCCCGCCGCGCCTTTAAACCGCGGGCCGGCCGCGCTCGCGGGCACTCGGGGGCTGGCGGCGAGCGTGTGGCGCGCGGGCTCCTGAGGCGCTGCGACTCTCTGTGGCGCGCTCTCTCTCCTCCAGCTCTCTAGCGGGACCGCCGGCTCACGAGCCAGAGCCGAACCCTAGGCAAGCGTTCACCCGCTCCGCTCGGCTCCGCAGCCTCCCCGAGCGTCGGGAGGAGATGGAGCCCCGGCCCGCGGCGCCCTCGTCTGGCGCACCGCGGCCCGCCCGGGATGGGGACGCGCCGCTGGCTATCGCCGGGGTGGACCTGCCCGGGACTGCCGTGCCTTCCTCCGGTCGAGAGGATGCTACGGCCGGGAGCCAGGCCGGCGGGGTGCGCGGAGAGGGAGCGGCGGCGGCGGGCGATGGTCTGGGCAGACCTCTGGGGCCCACCCCCAGCCAGAGCCGCTTCCAGGTGGACCCGGTTTCCGAGAACGCCGGGCGGGCCGCGGCGGCTGCGGCGGCGGCCGGGGCGACAGGCAAGGAGACCCCGGCGGCCGGGAAAGGCAGCGGTGAGAGCGGCGCTGCTAAGGGCAGCGAGGAAGCCAAGGGCCGCTTTCGCGTGAACTTCGTGGACCCGGCTGCCTCATCGTCCGCGGACGACAGCCTGTCGGATGCGGCGGGGGTCGGAGGCGACGGGCCCAACGTGAGCTTCCAGAACGGCGGGGACACGGTGCTAAGCGAGGGCAGCAGCTTGCACTCGGGCGGCGGCAGTGGACACCATCAGCAGTACTACTATGACACCCACACCAACACCTACTACCTGCGCACCTTCGGCCACAACACCATGGATGCGGTGCCCAGGATCGACCACTACCGGCACACGGCCGCGCAGTTGGGCGAGAAGCTCCTCCGGCCCAGCCTGGCAGAGCTCCACGATGAGCTGGAAAAGGTGAGCTCGCCCAGACCCTCCTCCCATGTCATGCCCTGGTGCGTGCTGGCCGCGGGATGCAGCCGCCGACTCTCCCTGGTGAGGTGGCAGCACAGGACCCGAGGAACGACTTGCTGGCATCTCTGGATTCAGCTGTCAAGTGTGGAATTGCAGCGGAATGTAACTTAATCCTTCAAAAGTTTGCAGCGGGTTAGGCTGGTCATGCGATATAGAGGAGGCAGCACTTAGCAGCCTTTCCCATCCAGTTATGTATCTTGTGTGCCCCTGTCTTTTTTCACCCCGTCTTGACAGTGTGTCACCTCTTTGAGTTACGCATGTGTTTAGAGCCCAGAGAAGGGAGTGTGGAGGAGGTGTGGAAGAGGCTCTCTCTTGGGACAGGGTGGAGAGAACATACTACCATCTGGGTTCTTTTTAGATTGTAGTGTATGGTTTATGCATATCCATTAGGGATCCTGAGTGGAAAGAAAGGTTGATGTTTGAAGGAAAATCTTAATAACATGTGTTTATAGTCTATTAATTATTAAAGCCCATTATTTGCAACCTTGAATATGTAGAGGACCATAGAAATCTTTTTTATTTCTTTCCTTTTTATTTTTTGTTTGTTTATTATTTTTAGGCAGGATCTCTGTGTATCTCTAGCTGACCTAGAGTTTGCAAAGTAGACCAGGCTGGCCTTGAACTCACAGATCCACCTGCTTCTGCTTCCCTGCTTCCCTGCTTCCCAGCGTTAGGGTTTAAAGGCGTTTGCCACCATGCCCGCACACACATCTCAAATCTTGGGAAAAGTTGTATTTGATAATAGCACGGTCTTGTTTGTTTGTAATGTAAACTTTTTGGAAAGAGAGCTGCATCGGTGCAGGGCAGTGGTAGAGAGATGGCTCAGAAGTTAAGAGCACTTGTTGCTCTTGCAGGGAACCAAGAGGGTTCAGTTTTCAGCACCCACAAGGAAGCGCACAACACACAACCATCTGTAACTCCACTTCCAGGGAGATTCCATGCCTTCTGACCTTAATAGGCACCAACCAACCACGCATGTGGTATATATCCATGCATGCAGGCAAAACATTTCATACATATAAAATATTTAAAAAAGAGATGTTTTTAAAAAGTGACATGGGTGAGTTTTTAGAGAAAAAAGGAAACAAGGATTTTATTTTATTTTTTCCCCCTCGAGGATGTCTAGAGGAAAAGTCTGGAGTCTTTATTTTTGTGAAGCCCTTTTACTTTGTAAACAAAAAACCATTCCCATACACTCTTACTGACTTTTCCTTCTGTTTTTTTTTTTTATGGCCTCGTAAGTCTTTTATTTCCTCGGGGTTCAGATAATTATTTGAAGATAACATTGATGCTTTTGAGACCTGATTAATATTTAACTTTTTTATGAGTTGAATTACTTGACATCTGCCTCAGCAAGTCTATAGTGGAATTTTTGTGACTTCAGAGTTGGTACCACACAGGGCGAGATGATCAGCATGAAGAAGTTTATGTGATTTGTTTTGACTGTGATGGTTTGATCTCATACATTCATGTCTTACAAGACTGCACTTGTCCCAGTGTTTGATAAAGTAATAATCATGGTTTGAAGTAAGTGATAGGTCCCAGCCCTTACAAGCTTGTGGATTGTTTAAAAGATTGACATCATTTAGCCTTAGATAATACTACCTCTGTTCTATTGTTGTATTTTGTCCTATCAGAAGCTAAGCACTTTCTGAAACACTCACACTTAGATTTTTTCACATCCAATCTTTTCTGTTTATAGGCTCAGTCAGAAATGGAGTTGGTAAATGATATTTTACTGCAGCATTTTTAGTATTCATAATTTTTTTACAAATACATTTCAGGTTTATTTCGGTAAAGTCAAGTTCAGCAGTATAGCACTGTATCTGTAAGTTGTAGAATGTAAGCTGAAAGGTGTCATGCATCTTGCACTTTAAGCCCCCTACGGTTGAGTTTATTTTGTGTGTGGCTTGTAGTGTGGATTTTATTATTTTTGTTCAGTTTAGAGCATCTGAAAGATAGACACATTATCAGCTATGTGGTAATTGAAAAAGTCACCTAATCCCTCAACCTCAGCTTCCTCAGTTTTCGAGATTATTGTAAAAATTAAAAAAAATGCAACAGAAATAATGGACCATGGTCATGCTAAATTTGTGGAATATCACTGCGCAGTGATTCTTATTTTGCTCTTACATTGACTCCTCAGAGTATAAGGCTAAGCTTTTAAGATTTCAGTTTTAGAGTCTCTTAATTCTGTTACTAGGTGAATATAGTTTATAACATGCTCAATTCAGAGTCTCAATTGTGCAGAATAGCATAGTGAATTCTTCAGTTGTTTTTCTTTGCTTCCATAGTACATGCTAGACAGATGTTTTTCTATTCAGATGGACCCTCAGCCTCTACTCAAATTCTGTATAGTAACCAGAAGTTGATGGTGTTAACTAATAAGCAATTATTGAAGATAATTGCGTCAAATGGGTTAGATACCTGCCATGTTAAATAGTACAGAAGCACTGCTCAGAGTTGTAGGAGGCGTGGGCGAAGGTATGACACATGACGATGATCTCTGATTGACTCCCCAGAGTCCATATAGAGTCCATATATGGTCCTCATCCATATAGATTGGCAGCAACTTGAGCGCTTTTAGCCTTATTAGTAATGCTATCTATAGTTTCTTTGATGCTCTAGTATTGGATTGTCATGTACTATACTCTGGTAACTGAGTACTATACCATCCATGAAGTGTCTAAAGCAGATTAAGTTACAGATGCCAAGAGCAATGGGAGATCAGAGGATGTGAAAGATAAATGCTCTACAAACTTACTAGGAAAAAAGACTAGAGTTGTCTTTGTCATTGATCTTTTAAAGTATTTTCCTGTTGACATAGGTTTTTGTCCTGCCCAGTCCTGCAGTCCCAAAGAAACACACAGAGGTCTTTATTAATTATAAACTGGTTGGCCTATTAGCTCAGGCTTCTTATTAACTCTTTCTTACATCTTAAGTTAGCCCATTATTCTTGTTTATGTTAACCACGTGGCTTGGTACCTTTTTCAGCAAGGCATTCTCATCTTGCTTCCTCTGTGTCTGGGTGATGCCTGCAGACTGACCTTTCCTCTTCCCAGAATTCTCCTGTTCTCGTTGCCCTGCCTCTACTTCCTGCCTGGCTACTGGCCATTCAGTGTTTTATTAAACAAGTACAAGAAACAAGTCTTTACAGGGTAAAACCATTGTTCCACAACACTCCCTCCCTTTTCAAAACAAGAACTATGAATTGAATCTCACTTGTTTAGCTTTCTTCCTGACCCTTATCCATACAACTTGTAACCAACACTCTAAACAAAGAAAAACATCCATAATCCATTTTTTTGGGAATGTGGGCATAGTTTTCCAGGCTACTAACTGCTAACTGAGGGTGCTGATAATCTTATGTGGAACTAAAGAAAATTTAGAATTAAGGTCAAGTCCTGGCTGGAATATTCCACGAGGCTTGATCATCTCAGCTAGCAGTCTTGAGGCTGTTCTGGATGTAGAACTCAGACATCTGGGCCATTTGCTCCTATCAGAGATTCGGGTTGGGGGGCGTCTTTCTTGATCAAACCTTATTTTTCTTAATCCAGAATGAATCCACAGCCTCTCATTTCCAGTGGAAACAAAAGTAAAACCTCTTCTCCAAAGTAACATACCTTTTGACTTAAATTTTTAAGTCAGGGCATTTTCAAAATACATATGTTGGATTAATCCAACAGCATTTAAAATCAAATGTCTTTTAGCTGTTGCTCCTTCCTTAGTATTTAAACAATTCAAAGACAACACAATAACAGATTATGTGTATTTTCCATCTTTAAGTGGCTTTATTTTAAACTCTTATTTCTTTTATTTTTGTTTTTAATTTTTTTTTTTTTGAGACTAGGTTTCTCTGTGTATCTTTGGCTGTCCTGACACTCACTCTGTAGACCAGGCTGTCCTTGAACTCACAGAGATCTGCCTGCCTCTTCCTCCCAAGTATTGGGATTAAAGATGTGTGCTACCACACCCGACTACTCTCTTTTTTATATTAAGGACTCTATCCTTTTTCTTTTCTCTCCCAAGCCTACATATATTTTTAAACACACTGTAAACCATTTAGAGGTTTTCTTCATCTGAATCTATCTTTACTATATCTCTCTTTTTCTGACCCACATGAGTCTTTAATTTGATAAGTGATATGGCTAGGATTAAAGCCTTGGCTTTAATGGCTGGATCCACCCTATTTCTTACCTTTCTTAGAGTCTAGCCTCATGGTGGAGGTACTGGCTGGAGCCATGTTTATTGCCACAACTCTATGGCATTTCATGGTCCTTGCCACCACCAAAAAGCATGTTGTCAGCTATTCATAAACACCATTTAAATGTATGGTGGCAGGGGCTCTTAAAAGAGCTGCAAGGTTTTGTTGCTAAAGCTGAGTCAGGAAGCCTCTCTTAAACGAGTTGCGCTTGTCTCTAGCAAAGAGAGCCCACCCAAGAAAGTGCTGCTATCAATAAGCCATGCTTAACTCTATTCTTTTCTGTCTAGAATTACTTCCCAAGCTCTCTCAGGCTTTATGTGGATACAGTTGTCCACGTGGGAGCCATTTCTGGGACCGGGTGGGACAGAAACTTCAGTCAACATTTTCCCTACTAGCCAGCTGCAGAGAATAAACAAATATCCTTGCTGTTATGAGCCACTCTAGGAAGAAGGCTAGTGGCCTTCCAGTTAGGAACTGTTGGCCAGGTAAAGGGTGACTGTGTTGTCCACAGTGCTCTAGAAATGTGGGATGGTGGATAAGTGAGTAGCAAGTCTGTCTCTGCCTGCACAGACATAAAAACAATAATAGTTGTTAACACAGCGGTGCGGTGCAAGGAAACATCACCAGTCAGGGTATCATGGGATTCAGTTTTGACTGGGCCTTGGGAAGAAATAAGTGTGGCATTGGAGCCCAGGCCTGAAGGATAAGTTGATGGGTGGAATGTCGTTCTGGAATAAAG